AGTAGACCCATTGCCTAGAGCCAAGAGTGGTAATTTATATATCATCACCATAATATATCAGGCTATACGCATTCCTGAGGCATTCCCTGTTAGAAATGCTACAATGAAAGTGGCAGTAAGGCACATAATGAAATTTTACACTATTTTTAGTCTACCTAAAGCAGTACAGACAGATAATGGGGCCAATTTCATTTCCAAAGGTTTTCAGCAGTTTTGTCAGGAGTTTGATATCCTCCATAAGACATTCACTACTTACCATCCTGAGAGCAAAGCTGCTTTGAAAAGGATGCATCAAACCCTTAAACAAATGCTGAGAACAAGTTGCATGGAAACTGGCAGAGACTGGGATGATGGTCTTCCATCTTCCACTGATGCTCATGGCACTGAGGGATACTTATCAGGAATCACTGGGGAATTCACCCAATTCATTAGTTTTTGGGCATGATGTGAGAAGTCCACTAACCATCTTAAGAGATAAAATTGTTAGAAGTCCAAAAAATCTTATGCAGGTAAATTATGTTGATAAATTCCAAGACAAGTTAAACAAAAAAGGGTAAAACCTTAATTCATTTTAAAGAAGCTCAATGCAAAATGAAAGTACACTATGCTAAAAAAGCAAAGCAACGAAATTTTGAGGCAGGTGATAAAGTGGTGGTACTAAAGGCACGACAGGGACCAACATGTTGCATAGGTTCCAAGGTTCCTATACAGTGATAAAAAAACTTAGTCCCACCAATTATGTAATCCAGACACTTGATCTCAAGAGAAAAGAACAAGTAGTACATGTAAATAGAATGAAGTTAACACAGAAAGGAACTACCAATACCAACCAGTGCTTAGTGTAAACCATGTGGACAAGAACAGTGGGGAATGTGATTTTGAAAATGTACCCAATACTCATGTACATTATTTTAGCACTGGGAAGTGGTTGTCTAGCATCCAGAAGTTGTTGAAACATTTGTCATCAGAGCAGAAGCAGGACTTGGAGCAGTTGCTGACCTCTCATTCAGACATCTTTGGCAATATTCCCACCCAGACTACAGTTATTCACCATGACATCGAGGTGAGAAACAACCAACCAGTCAAGACACACCCATATAGAGGCAACCCTGCAAAGCTGAATCTCATCCAGAAAGAAGTTGACTACACATGCTTCAACATGGATTGGTGAGACCTAGCAGCAGCAGTTGGAGTAGTCCTTGTATTTTAGTTCCAAAGAACGATAGAACTCACAGGTTGTGCATTGACTACAGAAAATTAAATGTAATGGCTGTTGATGATAATTTTCCAATACCTAGATTAGATAATTGCATAGATAGTTTTGGTAAAGCCAAGTTTGTGACCAAATTAGATTTGTCAAAAGGGTACTAGCAAATTCTTTTAACATCAAGAGCCCGGGAGATGAGTGCATTTGTAACTGCAGATGGTTTGTATGAATTCACTGTAATGCCTTTAGGGCTGAAAAATGCCACAGCAACTTTCCAGCATCTGATGAACTTAGTGTTAAAAGACATACCCGAATGTAGAGCTTACTTTGATGATATTGTAATTTATCACAATAATTGGGAGGACCATGTGAAAGGCTTAGCTAAACTATTAAAATGCTTAAAGAAGGCTAATTTAACTGTAAACTTGCACAAATGTACTTTTGCCAAAGCTAGTATTTGTTTTTTTAGGATATCAAGTGGGAAATGGGAAGGTGTTACCACTCAAAAATAAAATAAATGATATATTGGAGTACCCAGTATTGATTAGTAAGAAAGAGGTGCAAAAATATCTAAGAATGTGTGCATATTATAGGAAGTTCTGTACAAATTTTGCAGCACCTTTGACAAACATGCTATGTAAAAAGGTGAAATTTAGATGGTCTCAAGAGTGTCAGGATGCATTTACTAAATTAAAAGGAATGTTGTCATCTGGTCCAGTGTTAGCTACTCCTGACTACTCTAAGCCATTCAAACTATATATAGATGCTTCAGACTGGGGTGCTGGTTCTGTACTAATGCAAGAGGATGATGAGGGTATTAATCATTACTATTACTATTATAAAAGCTTACCAAATGTCAACAGAATTAATTCACAGTAGAGAAAGAGGCATTGTCATTATTACTTGCTGTTAAAAAAATTGACATTTATGTATCAGCCAATACTGTTGAAGTGTTTACTGACCACAACCCCTTAACATTTATTGCCACCATGAAGAACTTCCATCAGAGGATATTAAGGTGGTCTCAACTGTTGCAGGAGTACAATCTGGTCATTAAACATATTCCAGGAAAATTAAATGTAGCAGATGCACTTTCTAGATTGCCTAAACCTGAGGTGGCTTAGGGTTGTACCACTGCAAAGAAATGTATATAGTATTGTGTAAATGTGTTCATTAGTTATCATGTACCATTTGTGTAAAATTATTATGAAATCTGTTTGAGGTGTTGAACCTATGTGAAAAAAATGTGAAATTCATTTATGAATTACTGTACTCATTTTTTTTTCTCCGTGGCTTAGTAGGGGTGTTACGAACCTTACCTCCTGTGGAGATTAGTTTCTATTATAGATTGTTTGTGGACACAAAGGAGAATGTTTTCTTGAAATAAATCTGCAGCTGATAACTGGGAGGCCACGAGTGACTATTATTACTACGCCAGTAAAAGTAGTACCTTTCAGCTGGAGATTGTTTAGGAATAACGTGAATTGGAATAGCAAAACTATGTGAAGGAAAAATAGAGTCAATCAAAAAACCTGTGTGGGGAATATGGTAAATGAAGTCAATAAAGGGTTTGATTGGGAATGTTAAGAGTATTAAGGGGCAATGATGCAGCAGAGAGGGAAGCCATTTTTGACCTGATGCAGAGCACCAGCTGTCTGACCGGGACTTGTTTCCCGAGGGTTTTCTCCTGCCATGTCCAAAGATAAGCCATAGTATTATATAAATAGGGTTGCAAGGCAGGGTAGAATGCACTGATAGACTACTGAACAGTTGGTTTTGAGAGTCCTGTCCAGATTTCCTAGGGATTTATATATGTGTCACAGGCTGACAGAGGTAGTGCTGGAGTGCACAGTTCCAGTGTTGATCTAAGAGCTGAATGGGACCCCGAGCTGATTTGGGTGATATGAAGACAATGTTGTTTTCCTGCTGAATGCATTGATTTATAAGGAATGAATTATGTTATGTAATATCACGTGTGTTTTGTAAATACTGTATACATTTGTGTCATTTATCTACTAGGTTGTTTTCCTATGCCTTGAATTCCCCTTGGCTCAAATAAAAGCCTTATTTTCCTAGACAACATTAAAATACATGACCACCCCCAATTGTGACAATGTCATCATTCATACAAACTTTAAATCTTCGCTACAGGCATAGTTATCCAGCCAGCAGAGATAACATACAACTCATCACACAAATCTTACATATAGAAAAAGAAGCACACAATCTAGGGCCGTCAGTCACCCTAAATTAGATACCAAGTCATATTGACATAGATGGTAATGAAAAGGCAGACTCACTAGTGAAAACTGCCACTGCTCTACCTATTGTACAGGTTAAAATACCTCCAAGTTTTTCACAGATTAAGGAGCAAATCAAGAAGAAAATACTCCCAACTACCAAAAGTTGCCACAGAGCTAAAGTAGAGGAAGAGCCACTGTGATGTGGTACGAACAAGCCACTGGGTACTCCTCTTTCAAGCCTGGCAAAAAGATATCCAGATACATTGCAGTAGTCATACATAGACTCAAACTTTGTGACAAGTGCTGCTGGGAGGTAATAAACCCAATAGTTGAAGAGTGTCTTATCTGTGGAACAGATGCAGAGGCGCCGCTATTACACTACTTACTGGAATGTGAAGCAACTGAAGCCCTGCGCATAAAACTCAACATTCATCCAACTAGAGCAGCTGCATTAGATGCAAAATCCAAAGCAACTACAATGGTGAGAAAAGCAGTTAAAGGATGGAACATACTAGTGAATACAGTGCATCTATATCCACCACCAATATAATGTTATTAAAACAAGACTAAAACCAGTGTGCTAAAACAGAAGCAGAAAAGAAATGAGAAAAGGAGGAAACTTCACCTCCATTTAAAACTTTGACCTAAATATCACAGTAACAAATCCACAAGGGCCGTGATGAGGGTTCGAACCTACGCAAAGGATATTCCCAGATGCGCCTTAGTCAAATGTACCACGATATGGTCAAAAGAATTGTCAATTTTGTGTGTATCACAGAAACAAGGTTATTGCAAATAACCAAACTCAATTACAGGCTCATTATAGCCAATGCCACATGGACATTTCATTCTGAGTAGCTAAATCTTCAACAACAACAACCTCTCCCTCCCTCACATACGACCTGATAATGGTCCAGAATGGAACGAAACATTGTCGTTTCTCCATCTTTTCATGTGTGGTTTCGTCATCATGTCTTCAGCCACGTCATTGTGACTCATAGTCTGTACTCACCTATTTGAGCTTGTGACAGATGGACTTTAGCTCTTGGTCAGTGTATTGAGTGCAGTGCTAACCATTTCAAGGTGTTAGAAAGTGTTTGTGGAAGAATGTGTGTGAAGATTGTGGATGCTATAGCTTTTACAGTCAAACTAGAGATATTTATTTCTAATTCTTCACTATTATAATTAGATATATAGCCATTGATCATTCAGTGACCACTGCGTTGCTCATTAACTAATCACACTTTTATCAAGTGATTTCTGAATTATAATAATAACTACTGAATTATAATAATAACTGAATTATAACTGAATTATATAAATTATAATAACTGAATTATAATAATAACTGAATTATAACTGAATTATATAAATTATAATAACTGAATTATAATAACTGAATTATAATAATAACTACTGAATTATAATAATAACTACTTGTTATAATTTACTTTGTTGGTTCCCCAATATTCCTAACAACTAAGAATTATGACTTTAAAGTGTCCAGGTGACAAGCTGAACAATTCTCAGAGGATAAATAAACAACTTTACATGAACAATTATATACTAATTATAAGAACATTAAGTTACAGTGAGTCATCAGAGACCTTGTATGAAGAGTTTACTGCCTCTAAGTTCTGTAAAACTCATTGTTACAGTGGGTGAGCAGTAACCTTGTATGTAGTTATCTCTACATACAAGGTTATACTGTTCACTTACTGTAACAAGGAGTATATAAAACTTATTTAACAGGTTTTTCCTAAGCACAAGGTCCCTGTCCATTCGCTGTAACTAGGCATAGTATAGAGCTTACCTGACAGTTATCTCTACCAACAAGGTCACTTGCATGTAGAGATAACTACATACAAGGTCAAGTAGTTCTACAATACTCCTAGTCACAGTGAATGAACAGTAACTTTTTTTTTTTGTAGAGGTAACTGTTACGTAAGCTCTATAATACTCCTAATTACAGCTGAGTGAAGAATGACCTTATAAAGATAACTATCAAGTATGTTCTATAATACTCTGAGTTACAGAGAATGAACAGTGACATTGAATGTAAAGTAAAAAAAAAACTGTCAAGTTCTATAATACTGTTTTGTTATAGTGAGTGAAGTGAACTTGTATTGAAAATTATCATGCAAGTTCTACATAATAATTAATGATGCATACAGCCTTTAAGTCAAGAATTACACCTTATTCTATTAATAAATATTATATACTAATAATTAATAGGCTATAACTGTACATTGCTAATCCATCAAAATAATAAATTAAACACTATCAAATTAATATTGGCATCTTGTATCTAGTAGCATATAGGTCGATACAGAACATACTAAAGAAAACTGTCAAGTTCTACCTTGTATGTAAAGGTAACTGTTAAATAAGTTCTATAATTCTACTTGTTATAGTGAGTGAACATGTATTGAAAACTGTCATGCAAGTTCTAAATAATAGTTAATGGGGGCATAAAGCCTATGAGTTATGAATAACACTTTATTCTATTAATAAATATTATGTACTAATAATTTATAAACTATAACTACACATTGTTAATCAACCAAAATAATAAATTAAACCTATGAAATCAATATCGGCGTCTTGTATCTAGCAGCATATACGTCTATACGGAACACTATAAATTATACAGTATTTAACTTGAGGCCTGAAAGTGAAATTAAATCACATTAATTAGAAGTAAACACTTAAAAGCAATAGTTCATAAATAATTACATGAATAATAGCAGAAAATAGACCTAGCCTAGGTTGATCAGCATGAATTAAATGCTCCCCAAAAAGCGTAAAGCCTGCAGTTAGGCTAATATAAACGCAAAAGTCCGACAAAAAGAAATGCCAGATTCAATTTATATGCTACACTAAAGGATAATTCCCAGAATCAAGCTAATACAAATTCCAGAGTAAAACTAATATAATTAATGGTTTGGTTAATATAAATATCAGTCAGACAAATATAACACAAGTATCAGAGTCTAGTTAAATAAATGCTAGTAAGACATAAATGCTGGGGTCATTTACATTTGTTAGTCATGAAGCAAGATAATATAAACACCCATTACATGCAAATCAGTTGGAGTAAGAATTCTGATGAATCTCTATTACTGTATCTGGATGAAAATGTATTTTTATCCAGATACAGTCAATAAAATGGGATAATCTTTAGTACATTTCAAATATTTTTGCTACTCCTTTCCCAAATGTTTTGTGAAAAAAAATAATGTCCTTAACCTAACTGCTACTCCTTTTTCAAATATTTCATGAAAAAAAAGTGCTGAGTGTAATAATACACCATTTTCTGGGTGAGCCCCGTCTGCTCCCAGAAGCTATCCAAATTGACATGTGCCATTTTATTTTGGGTGCATCAGTCACGGGAGTTTTTTATGCCTACCGGAGACCACGAGCCACAACCTGGTCCCCTCAGAGGCACTGGAAGCAATGACCTACGAGCATTCTACATTTAGATTATGTCAAACTTGCCATTGACTGGGAAGGGCGCCCAGAAAGATAGGCGAAACAACACAAACCTCCAGCTGGTAAAAATTGCAACCTACGTCCAAACAGCAAAATAAACAAAACCACAAGGGCTGTGATGAGGGTTCGAACATACACCCAAGATGATCTCAGATGCTGCCTTAGTCGACTAGGCCACGACATGGTGAAAAGAATTGCAACCGGGAATCCCCTTGTGGATTTGTTTATGTGATGCATCACGCTACTGTGATTTCCATGTGTAGAGCAAAATAACTCCCACCCAGAAGAAAACAAACAAGCAACACCTCATCCAACTATTGCAGTCACTTGTTAGTGACTGCGATAGTTGGAGGGGGGCCAGATGTGACAACTCACCCCATCAGTTCGAGAATGATGAAAAACCGCCGACCGGAGGGAGGGAGGGAGGGTGTCAGGGAGCCTCTGGAGCACATCCAGAAAATGGCATTTCATTACATTCAATGCTGATTTTCTTTGGGGAGCCCCATCAGCTTCCTGAAGCTAACTACCCACAGATAACTAACAGAGGAACTTATCTGGGAGACAGCAGCACCGCAGGTCTCAAACAAAGATGAGACAGCAGGTCACAACAGACATTCCAAAGCAACACAAGGCCAAAGAGGGCCCCGGAACATTCATTAGATACCTGGCGGCCAAGACCCTGTTCGACCTCCAATCCCCCCACCCCCCAATCCCCGCCCGAATGTTGACCCAAGACAAATTCCCGAAAAAGTTTCTAGAGCAACATACTTCCACACATTATGGGCATGAGGGTAGACCGCAGGCTGGCTAGACTTAATGACACTACGGACAACCTGAAATACATGAGCCCTGGAACAAGGAACTAGGGAGGCCGGATCAACCCAGAGCGTGTCCACTGCCACCGAACCACTGGCCTGCAGGTAGCGATGTAAAGCCACCCCAGGCCTTGAGGTTATCTTGAGATGGTTTCAGGGCTTAAGAGTCCCCGCGGCCCGGTCCTCGACCAGGCCTCCTTTTTGTTACACACACCCAGGAAGCAGTCCGTAGCAGCTAACTCCCAGGTACCTATTTACTTCTAGGTGAACAGGGGCATCAGGACGAAAGAAATTTGTTGCCCATTTGTCTTTGCCTCCACCGGGGAACGAACCCGGAACCTCTGGCCTACAAATCCGAAGCGATGTCCACTCAGCCGTGAGGCACCTTAACCCTTAAACTGCGCATGGCGTATATACACGTCATGAGTAACATGTCCCACCGTGCGCATGGCGTATATATATGCCATAGTGCCAGGCATGATTCAAGTGTCCCACAGTGTAAAGAGGTCACCCATCTCATAGCCAGGGGCGATTGTAAACAGACGCCATGTTGAAAAAATCTAGTGCAGGCCTCCTTTGTCTCCCAGGCCTTAGTTATTGACCAGACATCATGGCGAGCGCATCACGACCCAGCGTTCGACCTCGCTCAGCGCACAGTGCCGCACAGTCATTGACAGAAGACGAAATTACTAATGAATTGTTCAAAGACGTTGATGAATCTGATATTGACGACTCAGATATAGATGAGGACTATACACAGCCTGAGGATATAGAAACAACGGATAGTGAAAGTGAACATGTTGGTGCCAAGAGGGTGAGGATGCTACGAGAGTCATCCGCTACTACTCAACACCACTTCGCATCCAAGCACATAGTTCATGTGTTCCATTGCCAGATTATGATATGATCGACGAGTCTGAAGCAGGTGAATCATTCTCTGGTTTTAGTGATTTAGAATCGGAGAATAGTTTTGCTACGCCTGCTAGTGCCAGTCAAAGTTTCGTCGCATCAGCTGCCCGCCCAGCTAAGCGCTGCCGCATGGAACAAAATAGCGACAATGAGGAACAAATCCCCTCATCTTCCAATAGGGTCATTCCATGTGAATCCACCAAAGGCCTCCCACTACGAGGGGCCTCGTAGCCTGGTGGATAGCATGCAGGACTCGTAATTCTGTGGCGCGGGTTCGATTCCAGCACGAGGCAGAAACAAATGGGCAAAGTTTCTTTCACCCTGAATGCCCCTGTTACCTATCAGTAAATAGGTACCTGGGAGTTCGTCAGCTGTCACGGGCTGCTTCCTGGGGTGTGTGTGTGTGGTATGGGGAAAAAAAAAAGTAGTTAGTAAATAGTTGATTGACAGTTGAGAGGCAGGCCGAAAGAGCAAAAGCTCAACCCCCGCAAACACAACTAGGTGAATACTCGACCCTTTCTAAATCTAATGAAATTTTGTAAAAAAGTAACCCTAGACCACAAATGAAATTGTGTAAAACATTAGAGCTCAATCTGCTTTGGTTCTTAAATAATAGGTCCATGTTCAATGGGCTCTCATCCCATTAATGCGTACATATCGTAAAAAGGGCCAACTTTGACCCTTTATCAAGTCACGTCTATTGTCCAGAGAGGTGTGAAATTTGGCACACCAGGACAACTTTTGGTGCAGAATACAGCAGTGTATTAAAAAAACATCTTTGTAGTATCGTGTCAGCAGGTCAAACATTGCTGTTTACTTATTTGTGTATTTACTTGCAATAAATACACAAATAAATAAAAAGCAATATTAATGTTAATGTATTACAGGTCACACTTGAAATTACTGTATTCAGTTAGTTAAATAATTTGATTTGAATTCAATTACAGATACATCATGAATCAGGATTCCATTGGTTTATTGCCATGTGCTATTGCTAGCCATGAGCGTGGCTCTTCTGAATGTCACTTGACAACCTACACTCCCAACAAAGGTTTGAAGTTTCTAAAACAGTATAGTGCAGATGATCCAAAACTGATAGCAAAGTGAAGTGAACTGAACTTGGATGGAGAATCTCAAGTATGCCTCCATCATGAAGCTTTGCTGTTGAAAAATTTGAATTTTTGCAAAAAACTTGATGCAATCCCTTCAAGAAGAAGAAATGCCATCTAAAGCGAAAAGATTTGCGACCAATCACAGTAGCTACTGCAGAGAAAATGTCAGATATGCTGAATGTCAGTATTAAGCCTGGCCAAAAGTTGTGCACATCATGCAGAAAGGAATTCGACAGTAAACAGGTAAGTGAGTCCAGCTCTACTGAATCTGATGGCCCTGCTGATAATATGGAAATCTGTGAAAGTGTAAACACAAGTTTATCAGTATTAGGCATCTCACCTATTAAATATCAACGAGTCAATGCAAGGGATAAGCATGGTTATGCAAAGTGTAGGATTAGCTAAACACAGGAAATAATTGCCGAGCAGATTGCTGCAATTGGAAATATTGATTACCAAAACCTGTTGGTACCAAGCTCTAGCCAACTCAACTCTAGCCAAGCTCAAGCCAAGCAAGTCACAAATTGCCAAGACTTCAATAAACTCATTGAAGAAATGAAGCTAAAATTTGATGTAGCAAAGCGCCAAGAAAAAATACAAATCCTAACCCTCGTGCCACAAAGCTGGTCTATCAAAAAGACAATGGAGCAGTTCAAAGTTTCATAATACATGGTTTGCGAAGCTAGGAAGCTGAAAGAAGTTTAGTTTAGTTCATTTATTATGCACCCCATACCCATCTTGTGGGTGGTAGTGGAAAGGGTTACAGAGGCACATAATGGGTTCAGGGACTGAACCTCACAATTCATTTAGCTAAGCAAGTTACAATCTTGATGAGCTAGTTACAAAATTCAGTATAAGTCATCACATCAACAACAGGGAATACTAGCAATTCCTAAGAAAATGCAGGGCAAGTCAGTTCCTGAGGAAGTGAAGGAAAGGGTAGTACAGTTTTTTAAGGGTGAAGAATTTAGTCGAATGTGTCCCGAAAAGAAAAAAAACCAGCGTTGAATGTAATGAAACGCCATTTTCTGGGTGAGTCCCGGAGGCTCCCCGGAGCTATCCCAGGCTGATATGCTAATGTCAGACTTTGGCATCAGTCATGTGTATGGAGTTCTTAGGCCTACCGGGGACCACGGCCAGAACCGGGCCCCCTCAGAGAGGCAAGGGGAGCAATGGCCTATAGAAGCCCCCGTGTAGTTGGAAGCATTCTATGTCTGCCATCGACCGGAACAGGCACCCAGAAAGGTAAGCGCCCCAAAACAAACCCCTATTCTGGTTAAAATTGCTACCTAAAACCGAACTAGTGGATAGAACTCCCCAACCGAAAACAAGCAAATTAG